GCAGGAGCGAGGCAATGGTACATCTCGGGAGTGAAGCAGGAAGCAAAGCATATCGACTTTACAACCCAAAGACAAAAAGGTTATGTGTTAGCAGGGATGTCCAATTTGAAGAAAACAAAGCGTGGGACTGGGCTGAAGATTTGGAGACAGAGGGAAATGAAAAGAGAGTTGAATTTGTTGTTGAAAATGAAGCTTGTGTGACTGGTCAAGGATTGACTCAAAATGGTGGCAGCCCACTCAATACCTCACCCAATCACACCGAAGGCCAGGCTGCTCCAGTTGTACAGAATGGGTGTGAATCTGTTAGCCCACCAGAGAAATGCTCGTTGTCTAGCCCAAGCTCGTCTGCTCGAGTTCCAAGCACTGTTATCAGCCCACTAAATGTTCCAGACAGCCCGCATGATTTTGAAAATCTTAGTACATCTGGTCCAAGTCCTATTTCAAGTTCACATTATGATGATACACCCCCTCAAGGATTTCGCCACCTAAATGATGTGTATTCAAGAACTCAGTAAATACAAGAGAAGGCTTTCAATCCACCTCACTTTGATGACGCAGAATTATTACTTTCCAATGAAGAACCAAGTACCTTTAATGAAGCCAAAGATAGCAAAGAATGGAGTACAGCAATGCAAGACAAATTGGATTCTATTGAACGAAATGGAACCTGGAAATTGGTTGAACTCCCGAAAGGAGTTAAACCGATTGGTCTGAAGTGGGTTTATAAAGCCAAAAGGGATGCCACAGACAATAGAATTCGCTATAAAGCGAGACTCGTTGCGAAGGGGTATGTCCAAAAACATGGTATTGACTACGATGAGGTGTTTGCTCCAGTTGCTCGAATGGAAACAATCTGTTTCCTTCTATCTCTAGCTGCACGAGATGGTTGGGAAGTTCACCACCTTGATGTGAAGACGACTTTCCTTCATGGAGACTTAAAGGAGGATGTATATGTATCACAACCCGAGGGGTTCGAGAAGCTGGGAAAGGAACATCTTGTGTACAAACTGGTAAAAGCTTTATATGGCCTGAAGCAAGCCCCGAGAGCCTGGAATTCAAAGCTAGATGCAACTCTACAACAACTTGGTTTCAAGCGTTGTCAACGTGAACATGATGTATACAAGCGAAACACAAAGAATGGACCATTAATAGTTGGTGTATATGTTGATGATCTAATCATCACAGGTCCATGCAAGGATGAGATTGTTGGGTTCAAAAGACAGATGAAAAACTGTTTTGAAATGAGTGATTTGGGGCTTCTAACATACTATTTGGGAATAGAGGTGAATCAAGACAAAACTGGCATTACTTTGAAGCAAACAGGATATGCAACAAAGGTTCTAAAAAATGCAAATTTGTGGGAGTGTAATCCTGCAAAATTTCCTATGGATCCNGGTCCATGCAAGGATGAGATTGTTGGGTTCAAAAGACAGATGAAAAACTGTTTTGAAATGAGTGATTTGGGGCTTCTAACATACTATTTGGGAATAGAGGTGAATCAAGACAAAACTGGCATTACTTTGAAGCAAACAGGATATGCAACAAAGGTTCTAAAAAATGCAAATTTGTGGGAGTGTAATCCTGCAAAATTTCCTATGGATCCAAGTCTCAAGCTTGGAAAAGATGAGGAGCTGGAGTCTGTTGATGCAACTGAGTACCGAAGGATTATTGGGTGTCTTCAATATCTAACCCATACAAGGCCAGATATGAGTTACGCAATTGGAATAACCAGTCGATTCATGGAGTCACCAAAAACATCACATATGAAAGCTGTAAAACAAGTGCTGCGATATTTGAAGGGTACAATCAATTACGGGATTCGGTACACGAGGAATGGCGATGCAAGTTTGGTTGGTTATAGTGACAGCTCACATGCCACAGATCAGGCAGATTGAAAGAGTACAACTGGGATGATTTTCTATTATGGGGGTGGTCCGATAGCTTGAAGTAGCCAAAAACAGAATACGGTTGCACTATCTTCATGTGAGGCTGAGTTCATGGCGGCAACGGCAACCGCATGTCAAGCTGTCTGGTTAAAAGGATTGCTCAAAGAAATCACTGGTCAAAGCATAGAACCCATAACAATTCACGTGGATAACAAGGCTGCAATCATGTTAATGAAGAATCCAGTGTTCCATGGGAGAAGTAAGCATATTGACACTCGATATCATTTCATTCGTGAATGTGTCGAGAAAGAGCTAGTAAGGATTGAGCATGTAAGTGGTGACGAGCAGAAAGCGGATATCTTGACTAAAGCATTACCGAGGGTCAAGTTTATCGAGATGAGGCAACTGATGGGCATTGAAGATTTGGCAGGAATGAGGACTGGAATCAAGGGGGTGAATGTTGGTTAATTCCATTCCATAATTTAGTTTAAATTTAAAAAAAAAATAATATTAAGAAAAAAGGCAGGGAGTTAGGCAGTTTATGACAGTTTCCAACAGATGTGTTGGTTAGTAACGGTTGTGTCTATTTGTAATGGTTGTGTTGTTTAGTCCTTTATTTATATGTATGGACACATTGTTCTGGACAGCAGTTCCACAATAAAAAAACACTTTGTTTATATACTTCAGATCTGATTTTTTCTCTCAGAACAGGCCTTCAACAGGCTCAAAACAGCCATGACCTCACCGCCAGTTCTCAAATTGCCCGATTGGCACAAGCCCTTCATTATTGAATGTGATGCTTGTGGTGTGGGCCTCGGGGCTATTATAATGCAAGATGGTCATCCAATCGCTTTCTTTAGCGAGCCTTAAAAGGGGTGTGCAATTCATTTATCGACTTACGAGAAGGAAATGTTAGTGGTTGTCAAGGCGATTAGAAAACGGCGACCCTATCTGTTGGGTAAACCGTTCATTGTTCGTACTGATCATAAGGCACTAAAACATCTTCTGGAGCAGCGCATCACAATCCAGGCCCAGACTCGCTGGTTACCTAAATTGCTTGGCTGCGATTACAGGATTGATTACAAAAGTGGAAGTTCAAATAAGGGGGCTGACGCTCTATTAAGGGTGGCAAAAATTCGATGCATGGCTGTATCTTACTTGCAATTTGATTGGTGGCAAAGGGTTCAAGAGGAAGTTCAATCTGACTCATTTTACACTGGATTGACATCCTCCACAGGGGACTCAAAATTCCAAATCAGAGATGGTGTTTATTTCTACAAAAGGTGTATTTGAGCCCAACATCCGGATTGATTAAAGATATTCTTCATGATTGTCATGCTTCTTCCGTCGGCGGCCATTTTGGCTTCCATGAGACACTCGCACGGATTGGCCAAACCCTCTTTTCGGCTGGAATGCGTGAATCAGTTCGAACTCGTATTCGGAATTGTGTGGTTTTTCAGCGTTACATATCAGATACCATGCAACCGTCCGGTCTCCTTCAGCCATTGCCCGTTCCCAAACGCATTTGGACTGATATTTCGATGGATTTTATCGAAGGGTTACCGGCCTCGTCATTTTGGTCGTGGTTGACCGTCTCTCAAAATATGCCCATTTTGTTGCCCTACGACACCCATACACTACCGCGTCAGTAGCCAAGGCTTTTGTGCAGCAGGTTATGCGCCTACATGGGATTCCACAGTCCATTGTGAGTGATTGTGACTGGATCTTTCACAGCATGTTTTGGCAAACACTCTTTAAACTACAAGGCACATCTCTCAACCTCAGTTCCAGTTATCATCCTGAGACCGACGGCCAAACCGAGGTTGTTAACAGGACATTGGAGCAGTATCTTCAGTGCTTTGCAAGTATCATCAGTGCTTTGCAGGTGACCAAAAGATGGTGTGGGTTGATTGGTTACCCTGAGCTGAATACAGCTACAACACATCTACTCATCGGCTACTAAGATTTCTCCTTTTGAGGCTGTCTATGGGACCCCACCACCACGCCTTTTTCCGTATGAATCAGGCACAACCAATGCTGAACCTGTTGATCAGTACCTCAAACATCACTCAGTTCTCTTGCATGATTTGAAGATTCATTAATGCCAAGCCCAGAATTCCATGAAATTGCAAGTTGATAAACATCGTCGGGATGTTTCATTTTCAGTGGGCGATTATGTCTACCCAAAACTCCAACCGCACCAACAAACTACTGTCGCTCGCCCAACCTCTCAAAACCTTGCCCCCCATTTTTTTGGTCCGTACAAAGTCCTCCATCGTATTGGGTCTGTTGCATACGAACTACAGTTACCGGAGAGGTCTCAAGTTCATAATGTGTTTCATGTAAGTAAGCTCAAGCTCCACATAGGGAGTCTTCCAACCACAACCACGACCCCACCAACTGTTTCTGACTGTGTGTCGTCGCCCCTCACCTGGAGCTTATTCTTGACCGTCGTGTGTGCTCATCAACACCAAGGTGCCTGGGAGGCACGAAGAGAAGAGGAGGCATGACATGATGATGTGTCGTTTTATTTACTCTGCATTAGTTTCTTTGCATGTTTTTATAATCATTAGTTAAATCCGCACATTTAGTTAAGTGGGCAAGTTGTTCCTTATTTATTGCATAAGAATAGGTCATGCATGTAGTGTATCTATGGAATAGTGGGTGGTTATTCTCATGTGGCTATATTTATCCCTGCATTGTTAGTTTTGGAGGAATAATAGATATCAGACAATTATCGTCAACTCTTCTGCTCGTTTCTTTTCTTGTCTTCTTGATTGAGATTTGATACTATCACGTACCAGACACGCATGAAGTACTTCATACCTACTATTTTACTAATAGCAGTATTTTATTCAATTCATTCAATTGCATAGCCCAAAAAACTGAAATGCAATTTTAATGGCTGCTAAAGTAGTCTGATATGGTATTCAATAGCTTAATGTAATCACCGTCCAGCTTAATTTTTAAATAAGCCAACAGAATACCACATTTTTAACCAATGCAGAAACAATTAATAAAATGTTAGAGTAGTACACTTTCGTTTCTGCCTCATGTTTATTAGTCCTCACAGAAAATGATCAACAGAAAAGAAAGAAAAAGTAAAATTCGCACCTTGCAGAGGAAAATCTTGGAATGTATTCATAGTAATCCCCTTAATGAACTCTCTCAAATCATCTGTAACGCCGAATCTTTCCAGATCAGCCGAAGTCGCAGACGTCTCCATCGTTTTTGTGCTTGTAGTAGAAGACGGGTGAACAAGGTGAGAGATCGCGGCGGCAGGAATTTGAGCCTTGATCTGCTCGGCGCGCTTGAGTGCGTCGACTTTTATCTGGTCCGCGCGCTTGGACGCCTCGGCTACAATCTCCTTAGAACGCTTGGAAGCCTCGGCGGCGATCTCTTTGGATCGCTTAGACGCCTCCAAAACCACGTCGGAAAACTTGGCTGAGCCCTCAATTGTCAGCTCATGCGACCGCTTAGCCGCCTCCATGGTCAACTCCTGGGATCGCTTTGCCGCTTCCTCGGCTAAGCTCCGAGCCTTCAGCCAGAAATCCATTCTCGGTTGAGATGGATTGCATCAAATCTAAGCTTACATAGAGTACTGAACTTCGATGATTATTGGTTAGTAACAAAATGTATCTCATAACTTTTAAACTTAGAAACAAAAAAGTACTACCTCGGTCTCAAAAAAAATTGTCTCATTTTGATTAAAGTGGTAAAATAAGGAGGGGTATTTTGGTGTTGACTTTCCAAAAATATCCTTGATGTGATGGGTAAAAGTAGGATGTGATGGGTACATTATTAGGAAAAAGATATGATGTAGAAAAAAATATGAGGTAGGGTATGAAAAAATAAGGGTAAAAGTGGTTTTTTAATAGAAATGAGACGGACTTTAAGGGATACAATTTTTTCGAAACGGGACAGGCTTTTTGGGATGGAGGGAGTACATAATTTTAAAAAATATAAAAATAGAAATCATTTAAAATATGGCTAAAAAATAGAGAAAAATATCAAAATAAAACTTTCATGTTTTTTTCTGAAATAGAACTTCGCACTGTGGTAATGTGGTTGTAATGTGGCACTGTACATGTGCATATTACTATATTTTTTGGTAATGTACATAATCTTGTTTGATAATGTAAATGCATTTTAAGTCCTATTTCGAGAATAAAAATATGAAAGTCCTATTTTAGTATATGTTCAATGTTTTAGTCCTACTTTGATCTTTCTCCCTGTAAAAAATGTGCACCCTTGCTAGAATTTTAAAAATTCAGCCAATGAGTACACATGAGGTGTTCTGTTTGGTTTTTTAGTGTAATGTAACATTCTATATGACTTCCAAATTAACTTGTCATTTATCTACTACTTAATTAACTTTGTATTTGACACATAAGTTAAATTTTTAAAAAGACTTTAATTTATTTCAACAATCCAATTTTTTTTCATGTAATGAATGTATACTATGGAGTATATCTAACGAGGTTTTTATCCCGTGCTTAGCACGGGCTCGTATAATCTCAAGTAAAACATTTCTATAAATTTGATATTCTATTAAAATGAAATGAAAATGAAAAAAGTGCAAGATTGGTGCTTGTATATGTATTATGAGTATGGGGCTCCAAATAGAATCAAGGAATTGAAGTAATCATATTTTTTGTGTTTTTTACACTTCAATAAAAAGCCACTGTAATGAACACATGCTTGGTGAAATCGGTAATGAGTATATGAGAAGGTAGTAATGGTGTCATAACATTTCAGTTGTTAGCATACCACATTCTAATAAACCCTATTAGGCGAAAAAACACCTAAGACAATAAAAAATAATTGCTAGAAAATAAACCACGCAACTGTTATAGAATATACCACTGAACCGAATTCAACTCACCAACCTTTACTCTCTGCATAACAATTGCTTGCTCCTAGCCCCTTAAAATTGTAGCAATTTATATATATATATATATATATATATATGTATGTATGTATGTATGTATGTATGTATGTATGTATGTATGTATGTATGTATGTATGTATGTATGTATATATACACACTACTATCTCCATCCCAAAAAATTATAGTCTTTCTTTTTTTTTACATTCTGAAAAACGTTTTTCCTGGTTTCCACATCCCAAAAACACTATTCACTCACATGTAGTTCATAAGATTTCTCTTATTTAAACAAATTTTAAATGATACACTTTTTTTACTTTTTAAAATTTTTCTTACATTTCATGTAGGTGAGTATAATTTTTTGGGACTGATGGAGTATGTTTCTGTTGTTATTTTTATATTCTTTTAAGTAAACAATATTGTTGGACTTTTTAAGATGAACTACAAATCTTAACACCGTGTTTGGTTTGTGGAATTCAAAAGAAAAGAAAACAAAGTGGTTTTGTGTGATTTCCTCACAAAATCGGAAGGAAATCAATTTTTTTCTTATTAGTCCATTTCTTTTCTATTTTTTCCTTCAACGTTTCTTTTCTAACCAACCAAAAAAGCTATTTTCTCTCTCATTTTCTTTTATTTTCTATATTAAATTTATTGGAGATAACTCCGGTAAAAAAATCTTTAGCCTGAAATAAAAAAACACATATTAATGGGTGTGCAGTGACTTCTTGCAAATGAAACAATTGTTAGGGTAATTACGTTCAGTGGCAAAGACAATCATTACCTCTTAATAGGTCGAAGAATGTGTAACGCCACAAAATATGGCCTAAAATTTATTATAAAACAAAAGTAAATTCTGTCCGATAAGGAATATTTATACGTTTGACCAAAAATAAATGGACTTTCAAAATAATTACTTTTTGTTAAAAACTTACTTTTATGGATATGTCTCGAAGAGACGAATCCAACGGTACATTTTAAGATCAATCTGATTTATAGATTTCAAGTTATGTCAATTTTAAATATTAAAATTTGTAACTTTGACCCATAAATTAAACTCAATTCAAAAGTGATTTAATAAGATTAGAAATCTTAACCTTTGACACTTGACAACATCATATTCATGATTTGGATTAAATTCATATATTTTTATATCATTTATATTATTAAATTAATTTATGACAAAGACAGACCCAGACATTAAGAAAAATAAAAGTTCTCAGAAAAATATTTTGATTATGTCAAAATTTTAGTTTTGACAGTCTCATTCCAAAAATACAATCCGTTTTCAATTCGGAGCAGTTTGGGCGAAAAACTGCGTACCGTTTAGAGTAAATTGTTCAGTTTTGGCAAAAAGCCAAAACTTAAATTATCAAATCTCATGTACATCACGGATCAGCCCCCTATTCCACTAAAGATATCCTAGCTCCACTTTTGACTCCACTAACACAATAAACTCCAAATTCTTTTCATATAATACTCCACCACCACCATCATCATAATCTTCACCATCATCCACCATCATTCATCCATTCCTCCCTCTCCATCTATCTCTTTCTGTCGGCAGCAAGCCAAGGGAGAAATACACACCAACTCCATGATTATATGCTAAGGAAGAAGGAGAAGCAAGCAAGAAACCATCCAAAGTTTCCAAATCTTAAGCTCAAAAACGCAGCAGCCACTTTAAGGTAAAAACTGAAATTTTCCATCCATTATCTCGAAATACTTTTAGAACATATTATAGATATTTTCTATACATAAAATGATATTAATGGAACCAAAATAATATTTTTCTCTCTCTTAAAATGGTTAGGCCGAATCATGAAATCTCACTTAGCAAAATGGAGTGAATTGTTTAAATAAAACAAAGATACTCCATTATTTGGTCATTAGCTAAATGACAAAATTAATTAGTCCACTAATTTATCAATCAAGCAAAACATTAGCAATTTGTCAATCCATTTTATCACATGGCCGAAAGTTTTGATTTGACACCAAAAATTAATATAAAATTAATTTTAAAATTAATTTTATTCTCCACTTAAATGTTCAAATTGTATTTTATTTGACACCAAAAATTAATATAAAATTAATTTTAAATCAAATAAAAATACCAATATCATTTTTAAACAAGTATACAAATATACTTTAAATATTTTATGTCAAAATAATTATTTTCATAATTAAAATGACAAATCAAAATAAAATATTCAACATATAATATTTTTATATATATATTAATCGGCACATATATATAATATATATAACCGAATATTTATATATATAATATTATATTCCAAAATATTTTATTTTACTATTTTACAAATATACAAATTACTTATTATCCCATTGTTTAATCCTACTCCTTAAATTGTCCAAAGTGTGTGACCCGTATAGGCACTTATAAAGCTGGCCACAGTATTGGCTCTGCACCAATACTATAAGCAATAAGCGGTATCTAGCAACACATTATTGCCC